TTGTAAGCAGCTTTCCTGCTAAAAATTAAAAACCAAAGCTTAAATTGTATTTTGGGTGAGCTCCTGTTTCATGAGCTAAAACTATTTTTTTATAAATAATTTTAAAAATAATTCTTAGTTCATTTATTATTGAGAGAGAGAGAGCAAGCCATAAGCAGGGGAGGAGCAGAGAGAGAGAAAGGGAGACACACGAATCTGAAGCAGCTCCAGGCTCTGAGCTGTCAGCGCAGAGCCTGACATGGGGCTTGAATCCACAGACCATGAGATCATGACCTGAGCCAAAGTCAGATGAGCCACCCAGGTGCTCCTAAAGCTATCTTTTTTAATTAGTGCATGTTTTCCTTGAAAAATAAACTATCCATTGTTGATGAGTCTATTCCAGTGGAGACAGAAAAAAACTAATTTTGGTTGATTTTTAGTGAGTGAAGTTTGAAGAGAAAGAATATCCAGAGACTTCAGAGAATTTTTAAAAATTTTTTGGGAGAATTTTGAATTTTTGAATTTTGAAAAAAAATAGTTATTAACATGGATCCCGGTTAAGAAGAGCCATGCACAGAGGGAAGTTTCCAGAACTATGGGAAACATGATTCAGCTGTCAAAAGTACATAAAATCAACAATTCCAATTATGAGACTAAATGCCTGTATTGTATTTGTTGGACCACAGAGTAAACATGACAAAAGTTGTCCTGTGCACACACGCATACACACACTCACTCACTCTAACTGCCACACTCACACACAGTGTTTTCTGAAGCCCGTCTCTGCTATGGCTAGGGTTTGCATCTCAGGTGGAATGGTTTACGTATTTTGATGCTGGATCAGATCCATGATCTGACTCAGGGGCAAAGTCAAGTTATATGAAGAAAATGTGTACACATGGTATTTCAGCCTGTGTAAATAGAGTAAATAGAATGGTTCTGACAGAACAATGACCGTTTTGTCACATAATTATCTGAGGACTTATAAAACGTCTTAGAGACCTGAAAACACATTTGTCACCAGAAGTACAATTTCTTTCTTTTTTTTTTCTTGAGAGAGAGAGAGAGAGAGAGAGAGAGCACGCGCACAAGGATGGTGGGCGAGACTCTTAAGCAGGCTTCATACCCAGCGCAGAGCCCACACAGGGCTCTACCCCAGACCATGAGATCATGACCTGAGCTGAAATCGAGTCAGACCCTTAACCAACTGTGCCACCCGCAAGCTCCCAGAAGTACAATTTCTTAATAGAATATTTAAGAAAAGAAAAGAGAAGGGAAGGAAAGGGAAGGAAAAAGGAAAGGGAAAGGGGAAAAGGAAAGGGAAAGGGAGAGGAGAAAAGAAAATTGTCCTTGTGATAGAAAATGAGGCCAAAGAAATCTTTTAGGGACTCTATTGCACGCTCACCCAAGTAATCTGCTTCTCTCCCTCTCTCTTCCTGCCATTTTAGTCCTGCTAGAAGCCCAAATGGCTGTTTCAGAAGACCTCCCTCCCCCCCAAACCAACCGAATTTCAGGTTATTTTGGTAGGACAGGGTCCCAGCAAGGTTCTGACTCTAGTAGGTCAAAGATTATGAAGATAGCAAAGTCTCTAAAAACAGCTGGCCACGCACTTTCCATCAGCCTTCACCACTGAACCTTCCACCCGTGCTGCAGAATGTTCGATGTGACCACATCTTCACCAGTTTGGGTAGCACTATAGAAAAAAAATTTTTTTTTCTCTAGTTTGATAGATGATAATCGCATCTGACTGTTGTTTTACTTTGCATTCCTTTCTTAACATTGAACATTTTCTCATCAATTCCTCTATTCATCATCCATTCTCTTTGGGAAATATCTGTCTAAACTCTTTGCCCCTTTTGGCCAGGTTAGGGGCAAACAATTACCTATGTGTTATTTGCGGGGCGGAAGGCTGGAAAGATTTGACTTTTTAAAAAAATATGGTTTTCAGGATTTGTCCAAGATAGCTTTAAAAAAATTTTTTTTAAATATTTCTATTTATTTCTGAGAGAGAGAGAGAGAGAGACAACATGAGCGGGGTGGGGGTGGGGGAGTCAGAGAGAGAGGGAGATACAGAATCTGAAACAGTCTCCAGGCTCTGAGCTAGTTGTCAGCACAGAGCCCGACACAGGGCTCAAACCCATGAACCATGAGCTCATGACCTGAGCTGAAGTCGGATACTTAACTGACTGAGCCATCCAGACGCTCCCAAGATAGCTTTTTTTTTTTTTTTTTTTTTAATCAGGCAGATAGAACGTGGCTATCGACCTGGTTGCTTAACTTTACCAAGAATCTTCCCAAGAAGGTGTGAAAATTCCTCATTTCCTGAGGCATTGTTGTATCTTCGAATGAGAAGTTCTGCAAGGAAGGTATTATCATCAGGACCACAGTTTTCCCAAGTTGCAATTTCTTTTTTTTTTTTTAATGTTTATTTATTTTTGAGAGAGAGAGAGAGAAAGGGAGAAAGAGAGAGAGAAAGGTGGAGGGGCAGAGAGATGGAGACAGAGGATCTGAAGCAGGCTCTGCACTGACTATACAGAGCCAATGTGGGGCTCGAACTCATGATCCGCGAGATCATGACCTGAGCCGAAGTCAGACATTAAGCCAGCCAGGCGCTCCCCAAGTTGCAACTTCTGAGGCAGAGTTAAAACCAAGTGATTTCAGAAGGACAAGTAGAAGCTGAAGTCCTCCAGTGTGGCAACTGTATTGGGTAGGGCCCAGAGCACATTGTAATGGTGGCTTTACATTCATTTGGAGCCGAGAATGATATCATCCAGGTATTCCTGGAGGCCGTGGTACCCCTCCTGCATGCCCCAGGGGGTGAAAGGGTACCTAGGGTCTAGGCCCAACATGCCTAATGGATTGGCTAGAGCCCTTGCATACCATCTGTTTCTTTAGGCTCTTTTTTTTTTTTTTTAATGTTTTATTTATTTCTAGGAGAGAGAGAGAGACAGCGTGAGCAGGGGAGGGTCAGAGAGAGAGGGAGTCACAGACTGAAACAGGCTCCAGGCTCAGAGCTGGCAGTCAGCACAGAGCCCGATGCGGGGCTTGAACCCACGAACCGCGAGATCATGACCCAAGCGAAAGTCGGACGCTTAACCGACTAAGCCACCCAGGCGCCCCTGTTTCTTTAGGCTCTTGACAGCCTCCTTTCTTTGGGTCAGGACCCCTTTAAGACTTAATTAATAGATTCAGCAAGCATTTATTAAATGCCTAATATGTGGCCAGGCACTATTCTAGGTGCCAAGGCTAGACCAGCACCTCTATCCTTAAGGAGTCTCCATTTTAATGGGGAGCGACAAGCCAAAAATAAACCCTGGGCATGTTAAAGAAACAAATTATTTTGCCCATACACATGTGGGCAATGGGAGCTATGGGCAAAAAGAAAAAGTTGAGCAGAAGAAAGGTGATGGTGGGGGGTAGGGGTGTAGTTTGCACGTCAATAAGGTGGCCAGGATGGACCTTATTGAGGTTAGATTTTATTTTATTTTTTAAAAATTTTAATGTTTATTTAATTAAACACTAATTAAATAAGACAGAACACCACAAGCAGGAGAGGGGCAGACAGAATCTGAAGCAGGCTCTGAGCTGTCAGCACAGAGCCCAACACGGGACTTGAACCTGCAGACCACAAGATCATGACCTGAGCCGAAGTTGGATGCTTAACAAATTGAGTCATCCAGGTGCCCTGAGAAGGTTAGATTTTAGCAAAGACCTAAAGGAGGAGAGGGAGTTAGCCAGGAGGTTATCAAGTGGGAGAGCATTCGGGCAGAAGGCTCAGCTAGAACAGGCTCTGTAGCAGGTGCGGTTGAATGCCTGTGTACCCGGCACCCTGTTGTAGGGGCTGTTGGTCGCTAAAGCTTCACACCTGTCCCCTTCTCTCAAGGATGGCCATAGGCTGGCCTCTCTTCCTAGAGATGCCTGGGAGGTGGCCAATGACTGACTGATAGGAGGGGGTTTAGGCGCCCAGTGCCCTAACCTCTGCAAAGGATGATCTCTACAGTGTGATGTACGTTCCTTCCCAAGTTCCCCAGGGAAGAGGCTTAGGCTCAACTTCTTCTAAAACTACAGTTCTGCCAGCTTCTTTCTCTGACCTATCCTACTGCCCTCAATGCCTCCCCTGATGCTTGGACTGAGAGCATTTTCTCCATAAATCCCCTGCACGAGAAACCCAGTCTTGGGCTCTGCTTCTAGGGAACCCAGCCTAAGGCAGCTCTAAGGCCAGAGCTTGCCTGATGTGTCCCCAAACCATCAGGGAAGCCACTGAGGTTAAAGCAAACCTCTCTGGGAAATGTACAGATATGTACACATTTGCATACAACTCTGCCTGAGACACTGTGGAACCAGATTCAGAGCCCTGAATTTTCTTGTGCTCTAAGGTCGGGTAACCCCACACGTTGACTTCCTGTTACACCATCCCTTTCTCCACGAAAGGGTTGGAAGGGTACCTTCTCAGATAAGACTTTTGTGTTTTGTTTTGTTTTTAACATTTATTTATTATTGAGAAACAGAGACAGAGCATGAGCATGGGAGGGACAGAGAAAGGGGGAGACACAGAATCCGAAGCAGGCTCCAGGCTCTGAGCTCTCAGCACAGAGCCCGATGCAGAGCTTGAACCCACAAGTGGTGAGATCATGACCTGAGCCAAAGTCAGATGCTCAACTGACTGAGCCACCGAGGCACCCCAGGACTTTCTATCTTCAGTTAGGAAAAGCTTCTCACTTGCATCTTTCCAAAGTTGCTTTCCTGGAAAATTACTGACTCCATCTCCTATCAGCTGAATTGTGTCATCCTCAAAATTCATGTGTTGAATCCCTAACCACCTAGTGTGACTATAATTGGACACAGGGCTTTCAGGAGACAAAGTTAAATGAGGTTATAAGTATGGGGCCCTAATCCAATAAGACTGTTGGCCCTATGAAAAGAGGAAGGGGAGAGAGATCTCCTTCACTCTCTCTGCCATGCATGCGCAGATATCAAGAAAACTGCCGTCTGGGGACCAGGAAGTGGGCTCTCACCGGAAACTGAACGGTATGGTGTTTAGTCATGGCAGTCTGAGCAGACCGTTAAAACTAGAGAATCATCCAAACTGCAAAAGCCAAAAGGAAATTCTAGAGGTAGGTTTGTGAGGATTATTCTTCTGCCCCCCTCCCCCCTCCCCAGGGAAGCAATTCCAGTGGCAACTTGACCTGGCCCAAGGGAGCCAAGCCAGGGTACCTCAGGCCGTTGGTAGAGGGTTTGAAAATGGAGGCAACCAGGACTCAACTTGCTTTTCTCTTTTCACTCCTAACCAAAAGATGGAAGCATTGCCAAAGGTCTGAAGGTAGAGACTGAAGGAAAGTTTTCTTAGAATTTTAATCATTTCCTGTGTAGCTGCTCTTCTGTGAATGCAGAATAATCTCCTCTTGCATAGAAAATTAATTCCGAGAGGTAATTAGTTTATTTCTTATGTAAAATGCTTAACCCACCCCCACATACCCTAGCAATACAACCGAACTCTCGACAAGGAGTTGGAAAGCATGCGTTTGAAGACTGAAGACACAGTTTGGAGACTTGTTTCTCCACCTTCCTTCTATGAGCTTTGCCAAGTGCTCCGACCTCCCTGAACCTCAGTTTCCTTCTCTATAAAATATGGAGAAGACTCACCCTACTGAGTTGTGAGGAGCAAGCAAAGAACGCATATGGTGGTGTATTTTTATTTGGCCTTAAAGGCACCTAGTATTAGAACCTCTCTGAGCAATTCTTGAGATAGGCAGCCCACTGGAGGTTCATAAATTGACCCTGTGGTCAGACCAGGAGAAGTTCAAGAGTCAAAGAATGTTCCTTAATCCTAGACACACACCTGCCTCCAGCCCAGTGTTCACAGGATGCCAGATTTAAGAATCTGCCCACGGGGGAGGGAAGGGACAGGTCCTCCAGGAAAAATGGACTAGCAACATCAGCCACCCAGCTACATCGGCATCACCGGGGAAGTTGATTAGAATGCATGTTCCTGGTTTCACCTGGCCATGGCCCTACAGAATCAGATTCTCCATGGGTGGCCCAAGAACCTGCATTTTGAAGCAGGCTCCTCAAGTGATTTTTTTATGCACCCCTAAGTGTGAGAAGAATAGTTCTGGTGGAGCTACTTCAGATCTTATAGTCACTAACAGGTTACTGTAGATGTTGTACCTAAATTATAAGTAAACGTTTCGAACAGCTTGGTTGGAACAGCTTACTGTATAAATGTATTCCCTGTAGTAAGTGGTATTCATAGGCTATTTATTGGCCAAAAATAACTTGGAGCTTATCAAATATCATCAAGGATTAGTAATTAGATTATGTAAACTATTCCTCAAGTCATACATTATCACATACTCATGTCCCATTAGGGTGATTGAAGAGAAACAATTGGAAACTCTTTTTGCATGTGTTTGCTAAAGGTCAGTTACATAAAAGATTAGAAAAGACCCACAGTGGTAGTTAGAATCCAGGCACAATCAAGATGGTTGCATTGTGAGGTCTGACTTTGTTTTGGCGCTTACGGGTCTGATGCCAAGATGCACAGCCAATTAAATGGCAACGAGCTGTATTTTGCAATGAACGAAAGCAAAGGTTCACTTAAATTTAGCATTCTGACTTCATTTAAATCTTTTATGCCAGCACATAGAACATGCTGTGAAAAAGAAGTCACAGAATGACATAAAACAACCCCTCTGTCATCTGGGAATCTATATTTAGAATCACTTCTAAATGTTTCTGCACCACTGGGACTGTGAGAAAGATTTTCCCTTTCATTATGTTACATTATGAACCAGAACCAAAAATCTAAGATGGCTAGTTTTAATATTTTTTGTTAACACCATATTGTTGGATGGTATAATGCCAACGGCAAGAGAGAATGGGTAAAAACCTGTTGTCCATCTGCTGCAGGATGAATAATAATTTCCTGAGTGAAACAAGGGAAGAGTGAGCCTCAACAACTCTGAAATGATGAAATATGCTATCTCAATGATGCCCGTTGAGTTCAAGGACACAGCGCTGGGCATCAGACCAGGCACACCTTATGGGTGCCGTCCTCATGGGTCTTGTAAGGTAGGACTCCTAGAACCCAATTATCTTGAGAAAGGCTCAATAAGGAAGCTTCTGGGTACAAACAGGGAGCACCACGATGTATTAATCATGACTTTCACTTTTCGTTTATCACTTCCAAGCATATGTACATTTACGTGTATGTATATTGACTCATGTATATTCATTACCCTTCTCGCAAATGAGGGAGAAGGAAACTGGCCTCAACTAATCAATGGCAAAGTTGGGATTTGAACCCAGCTCTAACCCCAAACCATGCCACCCACCTTTATTACACCACTTTGCTTCCTTCGTGCATAAATATGTGCAGCCCTTTGAACAGTGGTTCCCCATTGAAATTCAGATTCCTAGGCTCCATCCAGACCAAGGGAAGCTTGCGCTCTGGTGGACCAGGAAACATGCATTCTTGCAGGTCAGGCAGGCGATCCTCACCCACAGCAAAGTTTGAGTGTTATTATTTTGGGGGGATCCATAAGAAGCAGGAGACACAGTAGCTGCCTTTCATGCTTCTGCACACCGGCTGGAGAGAGCAGCTCCCAGGAAAGCAAAGCAAAACCTGCCCTTTACTTTTGCGGCGTTTCAAGCAAACTGTGAAACCCCAGCCTGTCTTCCACCTGGGGCTCAGTGTGCTTTTGAGCCAGCCTGCTTTGTGATCAGGTGGTATTTACTTGAGGAATCAAATCCTCGTATGAACATAAGCAAAACATAATTAGAAAAATCTGTTATAAAAACCATTCTGCTTTCCAAGCCAAATATAAATTACTTTGGAGTCAGTCATGCCAGGAATCCCACTCCATTAGCTCATGTAATTAAGAGCGGCTGTCATGCCAATTACTGTCACTATGTTTCTTCATTGTTTAAACGTGTGCCCCCCCCCATCTTTTACTCCCAATGTATGTAGAGTTTGGAAGAGTTGCTGGCAAAAGATGATCTTACCCGTTTCTGTAACTGATTTTGCTGCCGATTTTGCCGCGGGGGCGCACTCACCTCCTCCATTCTCTGCCCTTCTCGGTGTGCGCCCTATCTGAGGCTGACGCCTATTGACACTGTCGCCACCCGAGCTCCCTTGCCCTCTGGCTTCTGCTCGGTTTGGGCAATGGAAGAACCAGTGTGGGATAAAAGAGAAGAGGGACACCTGGGTGGCTTAGTCAGTTAAGCATCTGTTGATTTCAGCTCAGGTCATGACCGTGTGGTTCCTGAGATCAAGCCCTGCATCAAGCTTTGCGCTGATGGCGTGGAGCCTGCTTGGGATTCTCTCACTCTTCCTCTCTCTCTCCTGCTCTCTCTCTCTTGAGCGTGCATGCTCTCTCAAAATAAATAAACAAAACTTTAAAAAAAGAGAGGGGCGCCTGGGTGGCTCAGTCAGTTAAGCGTCCAACTTTCGCTTAGGTCGTGATCTCGTGGTTCGTGGGTTCCAGCCCCGCGTCGGGCTCTGTGCTGACTGCCAGCTCAGAGCCTGGAGCCTATTTCAGAGTCTGTATCTCCCTCTCTCTCTGACCCTCCTCTGCTCACGCTGTCTCTCTCTCTCTCTCCTAGAAATAAAAAATATATATGTTAAAAAAATAATTAAAAAAAGGAGAAAAGGGAGGGAGAGGTGCCTTTAAGCCACGCCCTTCTCTGCTGTTCCTGGTTACTTGTATGGCCATAGCTTCTAGCAGGGACCCCTCTTTCTGACTCTAACTCTCACTGCCTTGGATAACAAGTGATCTAAGGGAGGTAGTGTCTTCTTGCTGTGGCTGGTCCCTGGGTGCCTCAATATCCTTTGCTAGTTCTCTCCTCTCTGCTGGGGCCTCTGTAAATGGGTCTTCATGAAGGAATCCCTTGAGCGTGTCCATTTCCCTATACATTCAGGTGCATCTGTTTACATACACGGCTCTGTGCTTACAAAGAGGTCTAGCCTATCCAAATTACTGGCTTAACTGCAAATACAATTCCTGTGTGAACTCTTGGATTCATTTTCACGCGCGCACACACAGACATACACACACACACACACACACACAAATATATACAGCTGACCTTGAACAATGAAAGCAGAAGTTGAGGGCACGAAGCCCCCTCATGCAGTCAAAAACCCACGGATTAACTTTTGGCTCTCTTAAAACTCAACTATGAATAGCCTTACCGATAACATAAACAACCGATTAACACCTATTTTGTAAATGTCTTACCTGCTGTCTTCTCACAATAACGTAAGCTGAGGGAGAGAAAATGATGTTAAAAATCATAGGACGAAATACATTTGCAGTATATACTGTAGAAAAATAAAATCCACGTAGAGTTCAAAGCTGTACTGTTCGAGGGTCAGCATGAAAACTAGTAAAGGGTGACAACCTAAGCTAAGTCCTCCCCCCTTCCCGAGGGGGGAAGAGTTTGTTGGTTCCATTGAGGAAATTGACAGAGATGGATTACGGCGAAAGAGAAAACATGAGCGTCTAAGCGTAACTTGGTGTAAGAGGAATTGCAGGAGTCAGAACTGAGAGAGCAGAGTGAGGAGGACTGGGCGTCAGTCCAGGTGGGAGGAGGGGAAGGGAGGAGAGAAGCCGTGGGATGCCCTGATCTGTGGGGAGAACAGGCAAGGAGGATGTAAGAAGCTTCCTGTGGACTATGCAGCCCAGTGATGAGCAACATTTCTTTTCAAGGCTGTGGGGTTTTAAACATGTCATGTGGGGGGCTCAGTTGGTTAAGCGTCCAACTCTTGATCTCAGCTCAGGTCATGATCTCACGGTTCGTGGGGTCCAGCCCCACACTGGGCTCTGTGCTGATGGAGCAGAGCCTGCTTGATGTTCTCTCTCCCTCTTTCTCTGCCCCTACCCCAGCCGTGTTCTCTCTCTCTCTTGCAAAATAAATAAAGATTCTCTCCCTCTACTGCTTATACACTCTCTCTCTCAAAACAAAAACAAGGGACATCTGGGTGGCTCAGTCAGTTGAGCGTTGGACTTCAGCTCAGGTCACGATCTCACAGTTTGTGGGTTCGAGCTCTGTGTCAGGCTCTGTGCTGACAGCTTGGAGCCTGGAGCCTGCTTCAGATTCTGTGTCTCCCTCTCTCTCTGTTCCTCCTCTGCTTGCACTTTATCTCTCTCTCTCTCAAAAATAAATAAGGGTTAACAAATTTTTTTAAATAAAAACAAACAAAAAAACATGTATGTGAGTTCTTCCCCCATCAGAAGGTGGCATCTAGTTCTCTCCTGGAATGTGGGCTCACTCCAAATGGAACACAGCACAGAGATTCTTAGGAACTTCAGAGCCTGGGCCATAGGTGTCCCCACACCCCTGAGGTCCGAGCTGACAGTCAGCATCAACCACCAGGCATGTGGACGATTGAGCCTTCAACGGTTCCAACCCCCGGCCTTCAAGCTCACCCAGTAATGGTGATGGGAGCTGAGACCAGCTGCCTCAACAAGCCCTGCCCAAACTGCAGATTTGTGCGCAAAATGAGTGTTGTTGTTTAAAGCCACTGGGTTTTGGGGAGGTTTGTTACGTGGCAGTAGATGGCTGGCACAAAGTTTTTACAGTTAGACTTGGGCGTTTTAAGCTGGTGTTCAGGTGGCCCTGTGTTTGTCAGTAACAAGGAGATGGTACAGAGAAATAGCAGATACTAGAATTTATTTTTAATCTTCTAAGGAGCCTTCTGAAAAACCCTACTTAGGGAGAGTCGTATATGTAACATCATGACAAGCACTGGGTGCCCAACCTGTAGGCGGTGCTTTGTAAATTTATATTTTGGATGAGCAAATAAGCCAGATGGGGAGTGGGATCCCAGAGGGTATACTTCTGTAACAATAGCCATTCAGGGTGGGCTTTGATGCTTCTAAGGCACTTGTTTGGCTCCGGACCTGGCCGAGTGGATGACGCAGGTTTGCGTTGGAGCTCATCTGCTCAGTTTACTAAAGAAGGGAGCCGGGAGACAGTGCAACGGTGTGATCTCTACACAGGAAGGAGGGAAAATGGGTTTAAAAGCTAGTACTGGCATTTTTTAGAGAGAAAATTACATTTTTGTAGCAGAACATCTGGGAGGCTCATGGCTATTATGAGGTGCTGACCCCCAACGCATGGAAAGGGCTTCGCACGAGAGGCAGAACCATGTTGGCCAAGAGCACAAAGTGAGAAGATGGTGGAGGTCGAGTGTGGTGGACAGGGGGTCCCAGAGAAAGTGGATCAGGGAAAAATTGATGGTAGCCAGGTAACTGAAGACTTTTAAGAACAAACATGTCTAGGGCCGCCTGGGTGGCTCAGTTGGTTAAGTGTCCAACTCTTGATTTCGGCTCAGGTCATGATCTCATGTTCGTGGGATCGAGCCCTGCATCAGGCTCCATGCTGACAGAGTGGAGGCTGCTTAGGATTCCCTTTCTCTCTCTCTCTGCCCTTCCTCGTTCTCTGTCTCTCTCTCTCAAAATAAATAAATGAACTTAAAAATAAAAAGAACAAACACGTCTAATAGTTATTTGTAAGTGGTTGGCCAGAATGTTCTGTGATGGAACAATCATCCATTGCCCTACATTTTCACTGAAGTCTGTCTTACACGTGGGCTTTCATCAGTGCTATTTTGAAAACTATTTTTTTTAATGTTTTATTTATTTCTAGGAGAGAGAGAGAGAGAGAGACAGCGTGAGCAGGGGAGGGTCAGAGAGAGAGGGAGTCACAGACTGAAACAGGCTCCAGGCTCTGAGCTGGCAGTCAGCACAGAGCCCGACACGGGGCTCGAACCCACGAACTGCGAGATCGTGACCTAAGCGAAAGTTGGATGCTTAACCGACTAAGCCACCCAGGTGCCCCTCATCAGTGCTATTTTGTAGAACAAAGAAATCAGGACAGCGTTCAGCATGGGACAGAAAAGGGTCAGAAGGCCAGATGTATGGAAGGAATACAGAGATGGGAGCAGAGAGCCCTGGAAAAATTTCCCCAAGAACCCCCTTCTTTGGTGGTGACTCTAGACCTGCAAATACATATCGTTAGCCCCTCACGGTCTACTTAGAATTAATATTGTCCCATGTCAAGTACAA